AGAGAGAGAGAGAAAGAGAGAGAGAGAGAGAGCGCTCGCGTATATTTTGTTTTGTTTTTGTTTGTTGGTTGTTTTATTTAACTTTTGCGTTCGAATAGATACATTTTACAATGTAGTCATAATAAAATACACCAGAAGAACAACAGGAAAAGAAGGACACAGTAAAGAGTGTTTTTGAATAAAGAATAATAAACTACCATGAACTACTATCCAATATGCTAGTATACGAATAGGATATAAAAGGCTTTAAAAAAAATTGAAATTTAACATTTTATAAAACCTCATAATTTGAATTTCGTCGTGAAGCGTTGAGCTCAGATGTACCCTTCTATTGATAGAATAGATTCCAACGTAATGATGTTATAAGTTTTGACCATTCGTGACTGTCAAACTATAAAATGCTCAAAACAGTATAGAGTACGCACGAACGCAACAAAGTTTCACCTGTGTGCGATGATTTCATTTTCGTGCGTTTCACTGAGTAAGTATAATGCTGGACAACAATGCGCTCTGACCCTGATCGAATACCCAAACACAGTACTCATGAAAATGGATTACTTTTGAAATTTCCATGACTACGCAACCACATTGCTGAGTCCTATTGAGTACAAGGGAAAATCCAATGATTCCGTCTCTTAAAATATTGTTGCAATCTTTAAAGTTTCATTAAACCAATAACATTTCATAGCATAGCATAGCATAGCACTGCAAATCATAGCATAGCAGAGCACACCATAGTATAGCAGAGCAGAGCAGAGCAGAGCAGAGCAGAGCAGAGCAGAGCACAGCACAGCACAGTACAGCACAGCACAGCACAGCACAGCACAGCACAGCACAGCACAGCACAGCACAACATGGCATATATAACACTGCATAGCACAACATAAAATAGCATAGAAGAGCATAGTATAGTAGAGCAGAGCAGAGCACAGCACAGCACAGCACAGCACAGTACAGCACAGCACAGCACAGTACAGAAAAGCATAGCATTGTATAGCATAGCATAGTGTGTGTTTGTGTGAGTCTGTGTGTGTGTATGTATGTATGTATGTATGTATGTATGTGTGTGTGTGTGTGTGTGTGTGTGTGTGTGCGCGTGTGTATATGTGTGAGAAGCAGATTGAGGGAGTGAGCTAAAGAGAGATGGAGAGAGAGAGAGAGAGAGAAAGAGAGAGAGAGAGAGAGAGAGAGAGAGAGAGAGAGAGAGAGAGAGAGAGAGAGAGAGAGAGAAAGTGTGTGTGTGTATGTGTTTGTTTGTTTGTGTGTGTGTGTGTGTGTGTGTGTGTGTGTATCTGTGTGCTTGAGAATTAGTGTTAGTATATGTGAGAGAGCATGTGCGTGTATACACACCTGCATGAGTATGTGTACATGTTAAACTTGCGTGATGCTGATAAGGATTGTAAATCTAAATACCAAGTAAACCGGACCCCACAACTTTCCAGGGCATGTGTTGTTCACTATGACGGGCCAGGGCGTGTCCTCCTGGATGGTTTCAGTAGATTACCCGACGTCCAACGCGGACGAATTGGCGCAGTACTTCAAAGCTGAGCGGGACTCCGTGACGTCAGACTGGAGGCTCGTCATTGAGAAACCTCTAGACCTGGAGACAATCAACAGAGATTTCGTACGTGTGTTTTAAGTCGTAGTAATGTTAGATGTTTCTAATTATTCAAGTCATCAATTCTGTACAAATCCTCTAGTTTTGTAAATTAGAAAATCAGAGAAATAGAATCGTTTAAATAGCAAAGGGAGGTAAAAAAAAAGTAAGTGCCAATGAGTAATTCTCGAGTAGACACCAACAATTGGAACTGAAAAGCTAACATACAGAATCACCATAGCTTTCATATATTCTCATTACTATCTAATCATCGTCATCATCATCATCATATTAACTGATTTTCAATGTAAACCATGTCTAACAACCTTCAGTCGTACTTAACTAACATCTGGCACCCATACAGACAGGACACAAGAGCGTTCAAACAAGCAATCTGTGATACCCTCACACCGCCTACTAAACGTTGTTTTTGTAATCATATCTATTAAAAGGAATGTTGATATCATGCACTGCTTCTTTAAAAAAAATATTGGTTAAGAATCTGTGAAGACCACCAGCTAAGAATCTGTGATCCTCACCCCCTTCCCAAGTAAAAAACAACAACATAAAGAATTTTAAAAAATAAAAAAGCCAAATAAAAAAATGTTCTTGCAGGACAAAAATGTTAAGTAGTTGTAATATTACTCAAGCTTGAAATAGATTTCACATTTGTGTCGTTATCATCTTGGCGAATTCGTGCTTTTTAAAGATGCTGTTACTTATTTCTTTCAAAATGTATACGTCTGTATGCAGATTGCAACGTGTCCTGTATGGTCTTGTTAATAACATCTTGGTGGACTTTTGTTCACATGACCAGTGCTCGAGTTACCAAGGCTCTTGGATTCAGGTTGCCTGCGGACATTTCTTTCTAGGGTTTTACACTCATTCTGTTCTCTCGTACTGGAGATGGGCTTTAAATAAGGAGAATCCCATCTCTTTAAAATTAATATTACAGTATTCATTAAGTATAAAACCAATATACAACAAAACCATACTTATACTTTATTAATTCCGGAACCTTTACCACCCATATTGGAGCAATAAGAGCACCTTTACTAACATTTAAATTATGTTATTCCTATTACCTATTGTTACATTTTATGTTGTTTCAGGGAATATCACTGCAGTCTATTTCTTTGCGACTTTCCTGCACTGAGACAAGCTCTTTTCAGGTAAATACTTTGGACACAAAAATAAAATCAGCAAGTAGATATTATTTGTGCGCACGTGATGTTTTAAAGATAACGAAAAGCAAAAGAAACTGGTGTGCAAAACAGAACCGAATAGACAGATAGATAGATAGATAGATAGATAGATAGATAGTTTGATAGATATATAGATAGATAGATAGATAGATTGATAGATAGATAGTTTGATAGATAGATAGACAGATAGATAGATAGATAGATAGTTTGATAGATAGATAGATAGATAGATAGATAGATAGATAGATAGATAGATAGATAGATAGATAGATAGATAGATAGATAGATAGATAGTGAATAAACATGAATATTGATATCTTTATTATTTAAGAAATATTTATAATCGACAGGTGTACATAACCGTTTTGGATAGAAGTTTAAGGGAAAATAAAAAGTGAACGTTATATTCTGTGCCAGTATATGACAATACATTGTACGAATTTTGAATTTTCTCATATCCCCAGTTCAAGTACAATCGGTTCATGTATGTGGACCCAGTGAGCGAGTTCCCTCCCTATTTCAATCCGGAAAACCCAGAATTCGATTTCTACGAGGTATCTAAAATTTATTTTAAAGTTCATATAACATTATTGCAGTAGAAATAATAGCCGTCGCCAAAGATTTGAAACAAAACAAGCAGAAGAGGTCTTGTACCATGCAATGGGCTGTGGGATATTTCTTCTTCCTATGCCAAATAAAAAACACATCGACAATCAAGGCTCAACACTAATTTTATAGCTCGAATGCTCTATAAGCCCTTAATAATCCTGGGTTTCTGCTGCTAATCATTTGCTTAAATTTGTAAGTAAGTTATTTTCTGTCTATTTTTACCATTTTTCCCTTTTTTATTTCCGTTGAAAACAAGATATTCAAGGACTTTATCTCAATCCAAGTGTTCTAGAGACTGCATTAGTTTTTTACCAGTTAATTTGGTCAGTGCACCTTCTACTGCGAATACTGGATGATTCATATCAGTAAAAAAACTTGATTATTAATGGGAGCCTTGCCTAAATACTAACATGTTCACTTAGATATAAAAATACACACAATTAAATACACGGGCTTCTTAGACATACACAACCATATTCAATATCAGTGGTAAAAAAATATATATAAAAGCCACAAACCAACAAAAAATATATCCCCAAATCATGTTGAAAACAACGTAAAACTTACTCTGACAGGACGCACAACCGGGGCATTCCCTCTTTGACCTGATGACTGTCGTGGAGGACTATGACGTGCGGAGCTCGGGTGCAGAGATCAGACATATCTACGCCAATCCCTACACCGGACCGGAGGTATGATTTGAATGCCTATGTGAAAAGATGCACTTCTTAATTTAAAGGCAAATATATGTGATTTAACTTTTAAAAATGTGATTAGTTAGCATCTATTCTTGTGCAGATTTTTATAGAATGATTATGCACGTTTTACGCAACTTTTGTCGTTAACAAGGCTTACAGTACCGATAGTAATGGCAATTCTAAGCTAAACGCTAAAAAAGAACATATTTGAATTAGGTAAAGACCAGAACTCTCACCAATTACTCTCGGATTAGGAGAGTTTCAATAGACTTTAAAACATTACAGCACAGCTAGGCAAGCAAAACATCGACGAGCGCTTTTTAAACTTAATTGACAAAAATTTAGTTTACAATAGGAACTCTCCTAGCCTGTAAACTCAACAGGGCACACCCCTGGACTTCGATGAGATTGTAATGGTCCCCATGGAATCCGTTGGGAAATGCTTCTAACTAGCTGCCCGATTATCAGTTAGGCTGTGTGTATTCCAGTATTCTTTCATTCTAGCAGCTTTGAACCTATACTGAAAAGAGGATGAAGACATTAAAGCTGAAAAAAAAAATAGTGGACTTGGAAACTAATGCCTGAGTTTTTAAGGTCAGTTATTTTAAGTGACCATATCTCGAGCATCTGTGAACATCGGTGAAACATTATTGTGTCAGATGATGCAGGATTTATTTAGCTTTAAATTGGCATACTGTATGAGTGAGTAGTGCAAGGCTTTAACACGATGATTGGGTGATTACATTTTCAAGTTTCTTTTGAACGCCACTGTACAGTAAAACATGTGCTCAACTTACATCTGGTGACTGGGTGTAAGAAATCCAACTCTTCTTTGTTAGTTGAGCTCTTATTTACTCAATACGCTGCATAACGCTCAGCCTTTCCCCATAGCACGTACTCAATGCAAAAACATTGTGACCCCTCCCCCCCTCAAAAAAAAGAAGATCGTACTCCATATTGTTATGTTACCAACTAAAGATGCTTTACATCTATGCTCATTGAGAAAACGATAGATACTGCCATCTGTGGTTGATTCTACAAAGGAGGAAGCATTGTTAGCAATAGTTTACTTTCTCGCGTTTAATTCCGGTCGCGCTCCAGATCTCGATCTAGACAAAAATCTATGCATCCCGACTGGATATTCAAAACTTTGCGCTGGAGTTAAGAATACGTAAACCACGGTAATGTCCTCATTTAT